GAATCTTATCACATTCGACAATGCAACATACATACATAATGTTATGTTTCATCTGCCTACGTACTGTACGTAATGTTACAGCCAGCAAGCAGTCAACTAACTTGGCTTGCGCCCCGGTATATCCCAGGGAGCGGCTATGCATTCCTCTCTCGTTGAACTGGTCCCACTGCTTGTTCTGCAGGTCATCATCACATCAACTGATTGTTGGCTGTTTGTCCAGTTCAGTGGCGATGGTGGCGCCCACGAAGTTGACTACCTAACTAGAATAACAAGAAAAGCAGTAAAAAAAACTTGGTTCCAAGCGTGCGAATGCCCAAACTCGGACAAAGTCCTTTGGCTCATAGAGATCTACAGCCTACGTCGAGATGATCAGCAGGGTCCTGAACAACTCTGAGCGAATCACGTCCTGTTTAATACCTTTTTTCCCTACTGTTTTCTTTGGGGGTGGATATCGCTATGTCTTTTTGGGTGGTATAGTAGCATGACAGTTGAACAAACAATCACATTAGCGGTTTAGAGGAACCATCTCACAATTGCCGCAGCATCGGTCGGAGCTTTTTCGCTTTTTGCCTTTGTTGCTAGATTCTTGTTATGGTTGCTTAACAATTTCTGTTAACGACGATCTGCGATGCGACTTGACGTACGAGGACGATGTTTGGGGTTGCAATGAAGTGGTTGTCTACGTACGGCAAGAAGACCGGCACTTGTGTCTATTTGCCTCTTGAGAGAAGGCGTTTATGCTTAGACTGGAGTTCATGTTTCAACGAACTATTCTCAGCCATTCATGAACTCGTTTGTGGTTACACAGGGACTCGTTGTAGAATTAATCGCTCAACCGTGACCGGTCATCGGCCATACACGTTTGAGAACCGGACTGATTCTTGCTACCGTTTCGATAGCCCACTTTCACGGTGGGATCTAGAACTCGGCTGCGATGAGAAGGGGCCACTAGAATCCGCACAAGTGCATTATTAGTCGACGAGTACGCGCAGGAGTGGGACTGAACTGGACAGGACAGACAAGGCAACAGAATTAGAATGTCGACTCGGCTACGGTAAGGTATAATGCGCATCGATACGATATGATACTGTAGTACTGTACGGTAACGGTCGGTTGGTATGGTACGGTAGATTCAGCCGAACCTCTCTCGGACTAATCATCCGGTGAGTCACACTCTCTTTTGCCTATGCCTATTATCGGATGGGAACCTGTCATGCCTTGGATCGGTTGCTGTGATGCTCTGAACCTCCATGGAATCGGCTATGCACGTCAACGACCGCGGATTTTGAGTAGTAATAGCGTGGGGGTTCAAGTAAGCACTGTGATCAATTGACAAGAGATAAACATGACAGCAAATGTTGACCTGAACAGGTCAGTCAATCACTAATTGTTCGATTAAGCGCCAATTGCCATCCTTCTCAAGCTGATGGTGGGGGATCGAGAAACAGACACCCCTCCAGTTCGACACCGTCTCAAGTCAATCGAGGTCTTGCATAGCCTACGAATGCTAAAGACTGATGGTTGAACCTCCACTAAAGGTTTCACATCGTCTACACACATCTCTAAATACAGCTGCTGAATAGCTTCAGTTTATATCCCATCTCGCATATGGCCAGCATTTGCCCAGCCTTGTCCCCCGTCATCAACCAAGATTGCCTAGGGTTAGCTGAGCCAATGTGCTGTACAGCCATTGGCGGTAAAAGGCATACGTCATAGGCCTGTTCCAAGGCCAAGATGATGGTAAATCAGGCTGAGAGGACAAAGAATAGAGTTAAATTTTCAATCATCCTTTTGTTTCTTTGTGATTAGACTTTTCTGGGACAATACTTGTGATTCGTATCGTTTGCCTTTTTTGCCTCGTGTCTAAATAGCTTCAAGGAGGCGGGCTACTTGTTCTTGTGACACCACTTACACGACCCATACCGTACCACCAACTCACGTCTCACACAACCATGAAGAACCTCTTATTTCACCTTACCGCCCTCCTCGTCGGCTCAAGTCTCGCTGCAGATGTCACAATCACAGCTCCAGTATCCATCCCCTCCAATGAGCCTGAATACAAGGAAGGCAAATCCTTCACATCAGCCGTCCTCAACAGCACCAACTTCTATCGCGAAGAACACAACGCAACAGCACTAAAATGGAACAAAACACTCGAGGAGTTCGCAACAGACTACCTCGATGACAATGATGACTGCGACTTTGAGCATTCTGGTGGACCCTATGGTGAGAACCTGGCTATAGGTTATCCCAATGTGACCGCAAGCATTGAAGCTTGGGGTGATGAGCGAGATGAGTACAATTTCGACAAGGCCAAGTTTAGCAAGAAGACGGGACACTTCACGCAGCTTGTGTGGAAGGAAACTACGACTGTTGGATGCGGAAGAAAGCTTTGCGGCGAACGAGGCTGGTTTCTCGTTTGTGAGTACTGGCCCAGGGGCAATGTCGAGGGCCAATTCAAGGAGGAGGTTTCAAAGGAGGAGGGCGGTGCATTTAGTACAAGACCTGGTCTTGGGCTCGCTCTGGCTTTATTTATTGGGTATATGCTTGTTTTTGTATAGACATGCCATGTTGAATTTCCAGCGTTGAATAAGCGTACGAGATATCTGATGAATGACGGGACTCATGCTGGGCATGAGCTATGTTGGCTACTTGACGACAATCCCCATTATCTCATTACAGAGTGACATATTTTTTGATCTTATATATACCATCTCGTTCTATACACTTTTGGCTGGCTAGTAGTGTCTCGATCTATTCATGGTGTTCTTTCCGTCATCAGTCCATGATGAAACTGTGACTTGATGGTGTACCAAAATCTATCAAGATGCTTTGTTTCGCTACAAGAGATTTATATTTGCTGGATATCGCCTTCACAGGTTCGAGGACCGATTTTGTAACCCTGAAAGAAGCCACACGATATGACCACGTTGCCTCGAGCAGGCGGCTTGTTTACCATAGGTGAACAATGTATAGTCATGCTGGGTAACTTCATTGCTGACTTGCCTGTCTGTGGATTACATTTTTCGATACTATTCTCTTACTGATCCTTATATTTATCAAGATGATTTGTGAAACAAGGCACTACTCGCGTTCTCGAACGACGATGGGCAGATCGTTGTAGGCAAGGACATCACAGCATTCTCATCGCATCTCTTGGCTCTTCTTTTATGATACCTCGAGGTTTGGCTCCTGGCGATCTGCCTTACAGCTTCTGGTAGCCATCGTGTCTGTTGTGAATAGTCTCAACTTCAGCTTTGACGGTAATCACATTCTCACAGGGCCTGACTTGTCTGCTCCGCATCTTGCTCAAAACCTCGGATTCGAATTCATCAAATGTGTATCACAGAGCTTTATTAATACCAGCGCTTTTGTAACCACACGCTGTCATGCCCAATTATGTCCTCTCTCTATTGTTCGACTTGCCCTCGGAATCCCCCCTTCCAAGTATGAAAGGTGGTCAACTATACAGATAGCTTTCTAGGAATCGGGGGCTCAATATGACTACCCGAACTTTTCGCTGGCAATCCTTTCTGGAGATACTTTCCTGTACACGACCAAAGCCTAGAATCTCCCGTGGCCATACAAACTTTATGTATGGAGCCATAATATATGCCCCATGGCAGGAGATAGAGGGAGGTATAGGGGCGGCCCACGCAAGCTATGCTTGGGTCGAGACATCGTACGGCGCCCTTGCTAACATTTCCTGGCACGTGCTGAACAGTGCTGGCAGGCGCCGTTCGGCTTTGATGAGTCGCAAAGGTTTTCGATGTTCGTCTTGGTTGTGCTTGATGAATCTTTGCCAAGAGGCTGGGACACAGAGTGTGATGATTTCAGCGTGTAGTTCGCGTGGGAGTCGAAAGAAGAGAGATTGACTCTGTTGATCTCTGAGCTTTGCAAAGTGGAAGTTCATGTTTGAGGAGTAGATAGTGAGCTGCGAAATGATGTAGTGGATTTGAAGGAATGACCGAGATGATGATGAGAATTTTGGTATCGAATGTGTTGTTGTTTTGTAGGTTGAGGTCGAGGCCAGCAGAGACCGGATGCTGGGTCGTCAACACTATCAGTAAGGTATCGCTCTTTCTCCCCTCCTACTCAATTTGCATGCATTACATTGCGATATCCAACTGGCTTTAGAGGGGCATCGTATATTTTAGCAGGTAGTATAGACCAGAATAGGTAGTCCGTCATTGCCCAACCGACCTAAGTGACTGACTTCTTTCTGCAACGAGCTTGCCTCTCCTGCTCCATCCAAATATGGGAGTATCTGTATCAAGGGTTAAATTAGTACCTACCTAAGTAAGATACCTGGGTAAGGGAGCAGCTGGCAACCATCTCATCTTTCAAGTGGCCATACGGGAGATGCCAAGATTGTTTCAGTTGTTTCTTGTGAAATAATACTTCGGTGGCTTGTTCTTTAAGGTACTAGGTATTTAAGATATAACTCTCTGTATACGTTGTGATCCAATTGCGAGTTCTTTTGACTAGCATAGGTTATAATCATATACAGAACTGAATACACTAATACTAAAGAGCACTGTCAGTTTTATGAATTGGTAGGTCCCCTGTATCCTCTTGAAATCTATTTCTTCTCCCTCAGTCATTGTGATGTGTGTTTGTAATGTAAGAGGCAATACAAAATAAAACTTGAGTAGAGAACCAATCCCTATTTAATCTAAACAAAACACATACTAGAAATATTGATTTGAGTATTTCAACACAAGGACAAAAGTAATTTGCAGGATATAAATGATCCGGCCAGAATGCCAGTCTCCCTATGTTGACCTACCTACCCGGGAGATTCATTGATATCGCGGATAAACATTACCCCACCTCCGCCGAGATTTTGGGTTGGTGTTTAGAGCTTCCACTTCGATCTTGCGACAACAGACTCGCGGTGATCAAACAATCGAACCTCTCTACCTCCCATTCCAACCCCGATCCTCGGCGCAAGAGCACCCTCAACCAGTTTCTCGATACTTTGCGCTATCCCTCACAAAATGACTGGTCGTGGTGGTGGCGGTGGTCGCCGTCTTATGCTGCCTCCCATGTAAGACTTGAGCTCCCCTCTGCGACGCGATCGCATGGTTTCTGGATATTTGAGGCATTGTTCTAATCGTTCTGTAGCAAGTATATCTTCGAGCTTCTCCGAGAAGTAAGTCTTGTCTCTACGCGCGCTACCGATCGCTTTTACGCTTGACCGCTGGGTGGACCTCGAAAACACAAATTGCACCGAGGCTGCCCCGGACGATGTCGATATCGCAAAAGCTGAACAACTTAATGATCTTTATGTGGTGCTTGTTGCTTTATTGTTTCTTGGGACAGCTGTGGTTGAATCGGGGCTGCCTTGTCGGACACCACTGTCCCGAACCCTCGCGAACAGACTGGAGACAACAATAGCACCCCATTTCCCCGCAAGGAACCGAGGGTCATGATAATTTTTTGTTTCGAGTCCGCGACGGCGAGCTGAAAGAACTCGGAAATATCTTTGGACTTTGCTAACAATCGCAGCACGCCACAGTCAGCATCTGGCTGTACGAGCAGCTCTCCATCCGTATTGAAGGCAAGATCAGAGTCAGTACATGTCGAACTGTGTTGAAGAATGACTACTGACTATCGACAGGGATTCGACGAGTTCATGAATCTAGTCATCGATGAAGCCGTGGAGGTCAAGCAGGTCACTAAGACTAACGAGAAGGAGACCAGGAGACCTCTTGGTACGTCCCTTGAATCTGCCAGTTTTGAAGCCAACTAACAGCTCCCAGGTCAAATAATGTTGAAGGGAGACAACGTCTCATTAATCCAAAACGTCTCGAAATAAACAGCCTTGTAATGGAATCTGGACTTGGAGTCGGTGGAAACAAGAACGAATACACAAACCCGCCTGGCCGAATTGATGGCCAACGAGGCACTTTCTAGTCTTGGCGCTCAGTATCTCTTGAGTATGCCACTGCAAATGGGTTGAATGGCGCGGAGAAAGAAGACTTGGCCTGACCATAGAATTGTTTGTCTTGCAAAAAGGACACTTGTGGACCAATAAACATTATACGCGTTTCATCTTTCCGCCGTGGCAAACACGATGCTTTGTAAGGTATTCACACCTCTTGAACGGTGGGTGTCAAGGATATCTTGGAGTCTTGGATGGAGCGGTCATCTGGTGAACGATGCTAACTGCACATGCGTTGACTCCACCTTACTAATGGCACTTCTTATTCTTCTTAGGTAGATGTGGAGGCCTGACGGACTTGGCGACGACACAGGATTGATATGTCTACATTCAAAAAGATCTTACAGTGCTCCAGCTTGGATCCATGCGAGCTGATGAGACGACACCGTTTGACATAATTACACTACTTCGAGCTGTTGTTTCTATTAGAGCCTGATGAATTTCTCGCAGTCTCATCGGTCTTGTAAGGACTCTTGACTCACATATGCGTTGATTATTGCAATGTCGTAACAACTGCGAAAGGCAGCTGCTCATCCATGTAGCTATCGTAACACCTCAAACGTGATGTCTATCTCCATCACCAGCCCTGTCACATTACAATCCCCGACTGGCAATTTCCAAAGTCGTCCTTCCCTTGCCCCCCACGGTACGAAGAAGGTGTTGGTCGTAGCCTCTCTTCTTTGACACTCTCACCTCATGCATACATGGGTCAGTTATCACACTGTTGGTTCCGAATGAAGATGGTGGTGTTAGAGAATCATGCAACAGTTCTACGGTATCAGCCGTCATCCTTGTTTGGAGAGGGGTAATATACGCAGCTTCAGCTTCCCCGCCATTGTCGCATGATTCGAAACCAATAGGATGTCGGCTTTGGTGTAAGTGTCAGTTGCGGCTGCATAACAGTTTCGTAAAGTGTGACCAACCGCAAAGAGCGAGGCTTGGGAGCTAGCACACTACATGTCAAAGGCTGTGGCCGCGAACCCAAATGGAAGGATTCTGGGCGTTTTCAGTTGATTGATGCTCAATCGTACCCTGCCTTGCGTAAACCGGACCGCCTTTGTTTCATTAAATTATACCTAGAACAGCAGATTCACCGAGTCCATGCAGTTAATTGTGGTCTCCACTTGCTATCAAGACCTACTGCCCAGCACCGTACCTTTCAAGCCAACCCAGTGCAGCGTCTCACTAATGAATGTCACCAAAGCTACACTGGTGAGGTAATGACTCGGTGCAAAACACACCGCACACCGATCAAGAAAGATGGCAACGCTGTTTATTGGACCAGCCATTCAGTTACATTGAGCTCAAACTTTGGCAAAGGATGGTAGTCTAGAAGAAGCCGAAGCTCCTCGTCATGATCAGATGAGGCTTGCCTAGACCATATTCTATGCCTCAGGAGGCGCCCTTCCCCTCATATCGACTACCAGATCTTGGCCAGGGGAGTCTGGACCCTGGATATCGGGTTTCTGTGTAACGGCCTGTCGGACGTCCTCTTGGGGTTCGCGACAAAGCGGCCTTTATTACCGTGTGATGCCATGTGCATTTGAGATTAAAATACTTCTCAAAAATCAAGTGAAGCTTCATTGAGCACATTTGATTCGGGCACTGTACATGTTATTAAAGACATGGAAGAGCTTGTTGAAGATGATTGACGTCTGTGGAATTCCTTAACAATATGCACCCCGGATTTTCTTCCCCGCATCTTCAGTGGGGAGTGGATCCCAACTTGGAAAGCCTGCTTCTTAAAGCAATATTGGATAGATGTTGGGTTGTGCGGCACATGGTTATTCATGAATTATTATAGGACCGAAGTAAAGCACCATCAGGCAGTCTTGGTATCGTTTTCAAATGTGCAGTTGTTACCGTGAGTCAACCTGGCACCCGTAACTCAGCACGGTTGGGTTAGGTTATAAAATCGAGTTTAGATGATGAAAGCGGGGTGACCTGGGAAACCGACTACCTGGAAAAGACAGTGTCTTCGAGGCTGAAGTTCTATCTATACGTAACTTAGCTAATGTAGTCGCCTCGATTAAGTGTATGCTAGTCTCATGATCGTCTAAACTTGGCTCGAGTTGGGCTAACCCTAGGCTTGCAATCGTTCAAACATTTACGCAAGCATCTAATTTGGCATTACTTGATTAAGCTTGCCACAGACTATGATAGGATATCGCCAGTATTATGCATGCATAGGTCTGTGAAGGGCATGCTGAAAGACTGATAGTGCTCTCTGCTCGTGGCCACATGTACGAAGTGAAGCTGACTTGCCATACCCCTTATACATGAGTTATAGAAAAGCCTGGGGCACTGTATTTCGTCTGATACAATACAGTAGGAAGCGTTGAGTTAGTGACATATATTGCACTCCTTGTGTCGTTTGGTTTCAAGACCTCTGGCATCGAAGTTGAAGTTGGTGAGGCTCTACAGGCCCATCATTAAGAGTGGATCACCGCGCTAACTGAAACGCCATAGCGGAAATCCGCGGCTGAAGCACCACAACTTGAATAAAAGTCCAGCGCTGTCGTCCAAGATCTGTAATAACGGTAATAACCTACATATGTTAGGGCCTGGGCTACACGATAGGCGAGCGGGCGTGGAGACTCTGGCAACCTTGAAAGAGGAGTCGGGGAACCGGTGTGTGGAGTGTTGCACTCTGGGCTTTTTGCTTGGGAGCCTAGAGGGTTTATGGATGCATAGCGTTGCAAGCAAATGTTTTAGTGATGGAAAGCAGGAGGATGACGAGAGTTCCATTTTTTGCTGGGATCGAAAAAAAAGTTGATCCCTGCTTGGTTGGGGCTTATCGAATGTTTAGGTCATATCAGGGGTTGCTAAAAGACTTGAGCGATTGGTTGTTGAGTCGCACGCGACATGCAAAAGCGAATCCCCTTGTGGATGGTTATGGACAGGGTGTCTAGAGGTTGGTTGTTGCTTTTTTGTAGTTTTGCTTTTTTTCTGTGACAACCTGGTAAAATATCTTTAACTCTGATTGTTGGTCCGGGGTAGAGAACAAAGGGTCCTCTTGATTGACGAGATTGGCCAACATGAGGTTCAAATGGCCATCTCCCAAACCTCCCCTATCCCGTTCGATCTTGAGCTAACGCTTCCTTCGCCCATTTGCCTTCGTAAATAGGTAGTCTAGTAGTAAAGCTCAAGCACAGTCTCGGCTCCCACCCCTTTCTCTTTAGCTGAATCCTGTGGGCCCAGATGGACTTGGCTACTGAGACAAAGAGCAGCAACTAGATCCCAAAGAGGAATAGACCAGCTTCATGGGTTGGAAGATCCCCCAAGGCGGAGTTATCCTTCCAGCCGTTTCTGGTTGTGTTCGAGCGTTGAGCACTCAAGAGTGAGGACGGATCCTATTCCGAAGGTCCCGGGAGGTAGGTACGGTATGGCACTGAACTTTTGGTTGGCTAGGGCTACCACTACGGCGCCGAGGTGAGTGCTGTGTCCCAGAAAACGGGAATAGTTGCAGGTCGAGACAGGGTTTTTTTTGCTCTCGAGTCAAAGGCTACGAGTCAGCGAAAAGCAGTTATGTACCACGGCATATTTTGATATACCCTTGGCGTGTTGGAATGGTTTCTCCCGGGAGGCCTTGACTCTGGAAGAGTTCCTTGAAGAAATGAGCGACTGCTGCTTGCTGCAGGTGCCGTGTCATTTTCGCATCCGAGGGTGATCCCAGGTCGAATGGCCGTTCTCAACGATCTAGAGCTTAAATGGCTTAGTCGGGTGCGGGGAGAGTGAAACCTCGTTCGGAAAAGCGGAGCCCGACCACTGTCCTTCACACTTCAGGGCCTGTCCAGGCATAAGATGTGCTACCAGGTCAGCACTCTAGTGGCCCCAGAGGTGTTGACGGCCCGCTGTAAAGCACATTCCACTGAATTGAGCTGGTAATGGACATTCCTCTTGTATTGGTCCTGTCGGGTTCCGGTCTACTGCCCGGCCTGACCTTGGCCCCGATGACTGGGCTGGAACTCAGTGCTAAGCAGCCCCATCCCAGCCCAGCACAGCACGCCCCAAGCATCAGCACAAGCATCAGCATCAGCGCGGGGCTTCGCGGCAAATCTCATTCATCAGGGCAGGTAGGTCCATTTTTGGGCCCATTCCCCAAGCTTCTTTCCACCTCAGTCTCATCTCAATCTCATAACCTCCCACTAACATTCATCCTGAAGCAAATATTCTTCATTTTGGTTTAATCTTTTGCCATATCCAACAAGTTATTCGCCTATTTCACGATATATTCGTCGCTATACGTTTGTCGCGACGTGACTCTGAACCTCCGATCCTTCGGACCCGGTCCCCCGCGGCCACACTCATCGCATTTTAACTCGCCTTCACTCACAATGAGACGCCAGAACCGTTCGTGCGACCAGTGTCGCAAAGCCAAGCGGGCATGCGATGCGCCTTCGCTATGGGACATTCAGAGAAACTCGGAGAGGCTTCGAAACGGTGGTGACAGCACCAGCGGTACCTCTCTTGCTGAGGAGCATCTTGGTGAGTTGGTTTGCTCTCCCCAATCCTCCTCCTCCCCCTCCCGCGCCTTTTTCCCGACCTCGACGACGCTAACCGAGGGGCCAATGAAACCACAGATGAGATTGATTCCAGAGCTCTACGATGTTCATACTGCCTTCGTACTCGCAAACAATGCACCTTTCATTGGGTTCGCGCTCAACTACAGACTGGCCCTGCTGCCACAAGCTCAAATATCAACAACGAAGTACCTGCTCAGAATGGCGCACCTCGCCGCGTCCCCGATCAGTCGCGCACAAAGGCCAAGCGTCAACGTCCGCGCCCTCAGCAGCAGCAACCAGGACCTTCGCCGACTCAAGCCCCTCTACCAACGAACCAAACGCTTGATGTTAATGCAACTGCCTTGCTGG